GCTCCAGGGATGTGTGCTGATGGACTGGGGCAGGGCCACCAGGCAGCCAGGGCGCTTAGGCCTACCTTGCATGAATTTTGTGCATCGGGCTTCTAATATAATATAGTGGTTGAAGCTGACAGACATGGCACAAATATTAAAGGAAGGTTTGGTGAGTAAAACTAATAAAACTTCTTGATGGATTGGTAATGGGGTAGGAAGTGGGCAATGGTGGTATAGAATAAAGAATAACTTAAAAGTTTCTAGATTGAGCAATTAAGTGATTCATTCCTGAGAGAAGATGATTTAGGGCAGCCAGGACTCTTGTTCACTGATTTACCCAAGCACCCAGAATAATGCCTGGCACATGGTAGGCTCTTGATTTGTTAAGTGAATGAATGAACGGGTGAAACCCTGGTATTTGAATGTTGAATGGCTATGAGTAGGGGTGGAATCCAGGAAAGTGGTACTCAATAATAGTCAAGACTCACTGTTTTAAGAAGGACGAGTGTTAAAGGTACTAGTGGACTAAGCAATTTGTGGAAAGCAAAAATAATACAGTAGCTTTTTAAAATCTTTTTCTGGAATCATTTTTTAAGTCAGATTTTCTTAGGGGTAAAGGTATATTTTATACTCCTGAAATCCAAAATGATCTGAAAATGGGGGGGGGGGGGGGGGCGCGGCTGTTCATTTGGGATAAAAAACTTAACTTGAATTAATATTTGTCATCTTTACTCCATTTATTGTGAATTTTTGCATAAATATTAAAGTTTGATTATAGAATACTACCCAGATTCCAGCATGTCTTATAAGTAATAGCAGATGTAACACATTACATTTATAAAACCTGAAAAAAATCTGAAATTCATCTAGTCCCAAGGACTTGGATAAGAGGTTGTAGACCTTAATAGCCACTTTCATACTGGTAACTTCTTGGAGTGATTTCTAAAATTTTTTCAGATAACTAATTCTTTGTGGTAACTTCTTCACAGTAACAAAGTTTGTTGTATTCAAAAAGCCATCTTGAGCTAATTTTTCTGGATAATTTACTTCATTGGTAGACGGGTGTGTGTGTGTGTGTGTGTGTGTGTGTGTGTGTGTGTGTGTGTGTGTTTTAAAATATTATTGATTTCAGAAAGGAAGGGAGAGGGAGAGAGTGATAGAAAGCTTAATGATGAGAATCATTGATTGGCCGCCTCTTGTACACCCCCTATACTGAGGATTGAGCCCACAACCAGGACATGTGCCCTAGCCCAGAATTGAACCATGACCTCCTGGTTCATAGGCCAACACCAACTACTGAGCCATACCAGCTGAGCTGGTAAAGTGTTTTTGATTATTTTCATGAAAATCAAGATAACATTTAAAAATGCCCAAATTAGTCCTAGTTGGTTTGGGCCATGGTCTAAAGGGTCTTGGGTTCTATTCTAGTCAAGGACACGTGCCTTGATTACAAGCTCTGTGGATCCTGGGGCATGGTCATTGCACCATGTGGGTGGCAACTAATAGATGTTTCTCTGTCTCTTCCCCCCTCTCCCCACTCTGTCTAAAAATTAATGGAAAAAATATCCTTGAGTAAGGATTAATTTAAAAAACATATTAAATACAAATAAATAAAATGCCCAAATTACATTACCGACCATTTAAATAAACTGAATGAAAAGCCATAGGTTCATAAAACTAAGACGTTTATCTTTATTAAAAAGTGAATGGCTACAAAGCAGCCATCTAGAGAATTTTGAGATATAGGATTAAGCAGGAAAAAGTTGGAGATGCTTCCTTTACATTTTGGAACAATTCTTAATAAACCAAATGGCAATTATCTGTTGCATGGCCACTCTTGTGGACATTTGTCCTTTAGGTAGTGTGCATATTCTGGTGGGAGTGGAGCCCATAAATTATAGCAGATAAATTTATTTAAAGCTATGTACATTCATAATTTCAGTACCCTATTAGTGACAAAGTAAGTTACTTTGATGAATTAGAAAGGTAGTTTCTTTTAAAATACTGTATTCTACATATGTCCTTTTTGTGTTAGGTTTTTCCCTATCATTTCTTTCTAGTGACACAAGTGTCATTGCTCTCCTAGTAGCTGTTACTTAAGAAGATTGGCTGAGTTGCCCTGCCTAAGTGTGAATTCTTGCTTCTTTACTTGCTAGCTTGCTAGACCTGGCAATATTACTACCTGATTTTTGTTATAAAATAGGAACGATATTAATAATTATGACATCATAGATTTTAGACTATTAACAGGTAGTACATGTGAAGTGTGTAGAATAATGCCTCCTAGTGAGGACTCAATAAATGGTAATTACTGCCCTGGCCGGTGTGGCTCTGTTGGTTGGAGCCTTATCCTGTGCACGGAAGGGTTGTGGGCTCAATCCCCGGTCAGGGCACTAGGGGATGCCAACCAATCGATGTTCCTCACTTTCCCCTTTCTCTGCTCTCTAAAATCAATAAGCTTGTCCTCGGTGAGGATTGGAAAATAAATTAATTCGTTAATTAAATGCTAATTACTGCTGTAACCTTTTTTTTTTTTTTTTACTCTTGCTAAAAAAATTGCAGCCGAATTATACCTTCTCTATAAATTACTGGGCTCTTTCCCATTGTTAGATTATTGGTGGCTTTTCATTGGATTTTCTGTATGTCCATAATCAGAGTATTTGACCTTAAGATATAGTAGTGTTAGAAACATTTCACATTAGTAATGCTTTTACAGAGGCGGGTGGAAGTTATGTGGAGACTAGAGTTTCTTTATTCTTCTCTCATATCATCATTGGTGGTGATGGTTACTTAGAAATACCTTCCTTGCATTAACTTGTATATATGATGTTTTTAACTGTTGGGCTTTTCATATTTAAGTCTCATTGAGATCAGACTGATTTCAAGCTACTATATTATTGCCATCTTGTAGGACAAGAGCTTTCCTTAGGAGGTAGATTGCCACATTGCCCTGCTTTGCTAGTTGTCTATATTGTCTTAGTTTTGTTGTTAGCACCTGCTTTGAGAAAGGTGGTTTTTTTTATGATGGTGTATTTATGAATTGTTTTCAGAAGGGAGCTTGTTTAGAAAATGAAGGGTTAAGTAAATTGCAGGTGTGATAGCAATAAAATCAAGTCATGTTATTAGACACAAGTATACTAATAACAGTGGACATTCATCCTGGACTGCTATCAAATATATGAAAGAGAGAAATAAGGTTTTTTGAGTTCTCAGTTTCCACTAAATAAACAAGAACGTGTGTGTTTAGGCAAGATTTTGAAAGATATTTTTGATCCTGAAGGTGAGTAAGTGACATTATTTATCCTTAGTTTTTAATTATGTAAATTCCATGTTGAAATGAATGACTTTAAGCCATTAAAATCAGCTTGGCTATCCTAACAAAATTTTGGAGTTGCTTTATTTAAAACTAGAAGTACTGCCGAAACCGGTTTGGCTCAGCGGTAGAGCGTCAGTCTGCAGACTGAAGGGTCCCGGGTTCGATTCCAGTCAAGGGCATGTACCTTGGTTGCCGGCACATCCCCGGTAGGAGGTGTGCAAGAGGCAGCTGGCTGATGTTTCTCTCTCATCGATGTTTCTAGCTCTCTATCTCTCTCCCTTCCTCTCTGTAAAAAATTAATAAAATATATTAAAAAGAAAAACACAAAAAAACAAACCTAGAAGTACTGCTAAAAGTAATTTCTCATAAAGGCTATTACAAAAAAAGCTAGAGGCCCAGTGCACAAAATTTATGTGTTGGGGGGAGGGATTCCCCTCAGCCCAGCCTGCACCCTCTAATCCTGGACCCTTTGGGGGATGTCCGACTTCCAGTTTAGGCCTGATCCCCTAACCAGCAATTAGACATCCCTCTCACAATCTGGGACCGCTGTCTCCTAACTGCTCACCTGCCTGCCTGATTGCCCCTAATCTCCTCTGCCTGCCAGCCTGATCTCCCCTTACTATCTCTCCCACCCCCCCACCCCCCCTCATCCCCTTGCCAGCCTGGTTGCCCCATGCAGCCTGCTGTTTAGTCATTACTGTGAGGGAGGGCATCCTGGCCAATTTGCATATTACCCTTTATTTGTATAGATTATTAATATAGATCTCCATTTCAGCTCTGGCTGGGTAGCTCAGCTGGTTAGAGCATCAGTTCAGTATACCAATATTGTGAGTTCAGTCCCTGATCAGGGCATGTAAAAGAATCAAGTGGATGCACAAATAAGTGGAAGAACACATCAATGTTTCTTCCTCTCTCAAAAGTAAAAATTTAAAATATCCATTACATTAAAAAAACAACAACTTTATTATAGAAACACTAGAGCTTTACCTAAAAGTATTGATTTCATTGAAATTTTGTAGATGAACATGTGGTTTTGTTGTTTATTTAAAAATAAATCTATGCATAAATTTTAAGATGCTATAAAAAGATAGGGTAGGAATTGTAATTTCAGTGGTGAAGAATAAGACAAAATACCCTTATTACCTTGAATGATATGAGTATATCATCAGAATAAAAATTTTATTTGATCCACATTTCAGTTACCAAAATTTCCCTTACAGACTGATATGGATATAAAACATTTTATTCGCCCTGATATTAACAATAATGAATTTCTAAGATACCAGTAAACCATGCAAGAAATAGTACATATTTGCTGGAAGTGTTTAAAATCATACCAGAGCGTTTACCTTAAGCATTAGAATTTAAAAATGAATACTAAACGCAGTTATCACTTTAAGGAACAGAAATTATGTTTGTGAGTAAAAGCGCATTTCATTTGGGCTAATACTAAATGAGAAATTTTATTAAACTAAATGAGAAAAGTTTGTTTGCTCTAATCTATAAATAATGTATTAATGGAGTTGTCAGCATATATCAATAAAAGTGTGCATAATAGTTTCCTGGTTTTCTCAGGAGTGAAAGTTGAAACATCTAATATTATTATTTAGGAATTTAAGTACATCTTGTTTAGGAGGTAAATATCTTCTTAGTGGGGAACGTACTCTTGTTTGTATTGATTATTTTGTCTCTTCTGTTTTAGGTGATATTGGAAACTATTACTATGGACAAGGCCATCCTATGAAACCTCATAGAATCCGCATGACCCATAACTTGCTGCTAAATTATGGCTTATATAGAAAAATGGAAATATATGTGAGTATACCTTTTGGTAAATACTCAGCATTGATTTTTTTTTTTTAACTATTATTATTCTCCTTTGGTGAAGGACATTTAGCAGATGAAAATGTCTACAAGAAAATGGAAACTTGATTTTGCTTTATTTAGAGGAAACTGAATGTGGGACCTATAGTCTCTTTTTTTCTCTCTTCCATCAACATTTTTTAAAAAAAATTTTCCCTCCATAGGAAGGGAGGAGAGAAAAACATCAATGATGAGTGAAAATCATTGATGGGCTGCCTCCTGCATGCCACACCCCTCAACCCGGGTATGTGTCCTTGACCAGAATCAAACTTAGGACCCTTCTATCTGCTGACCTAAGCTCTATCCACTAAGCCAAACCAGATAGGGCCCATCAACATTTTTAAAAAGTTTCCCCTACCCCAGGTTTTTGCATTTATGGAGAACAATTTTATTCAGCATACTACATATTTTTGTTAAATTGTTGATTTGTCTGTGCTGCTGAAGAGTTGATTTGAGACTGTTACAAAAGAATTACAGAGGAACTTAATCCTACAAATATTTATTGGTGTATAAACCCTGTTGGTGGACAAGCAGAGTACCAAATAACATAACATACAACAACTGCCTTAAATGTTTTTGTAGATAAAGATGGGAGTGTATATAAACAAATACAACACACTACAATTCTTATCTATTTGGGGAAGTAGTTAACAATGTTAGGGGATATGTGTGAGTTATTTTCTTCAGATATATTTGGCAGTCATTTAGAGAAAAGGAGTTGTGGGATGAGACTTTAAATCAGAAAGCCTTGTGGAAAAAGTATGTCATAAATGAAATAATTCTTCCGAATAAGGATGATTTGGTTAGGAAAAGGAAGAGAGATTATCAACAAAGACTTAAAATGGAGAATGAGTTTCATTCTGGGAGGTCATTGATAAAATCAGTGGATACAGAGCAGGTTTATGATGGAAAAGTAGTGGTTATGAGCATGGATTTGATTTCTAAGGGTTGACCCATTTTCATTAAAATAAAAGGAGTGATTAAGTCTTAGTTTGTATTAGACCTGTCTAATGCTTTTAAAGGAGTGTGAATTAGCTTTGGAATTGATTGTTTTCCTAAAACCTGCATATATTTGCTTTGGAATTTAATTTGTTCTGGAAGATCTAATTCTTTTGAGAGTTGAAATTGTGTGCTTTGTGTTTGATAATTCTGATATAACCAGTTGTAATTCCACAATTCTAACATTTATTTTACTTCACAGAGGCCCCATAAAGCCACTGCTGAAGAAATGACAAAATACCACAGTGATGAGTACATCAAATTTCTACGTTCAATAAGACCAGATAACATGTCTGAGTATAGCAAGCAGATGCAGAGATGTACGTTTCTTGTTAAAAGTATATATTAATATTGATTAGTTAAAATGAGTATTTTTAGAAGCTTATAATTATACTAGAGTCCCGGTGCACAAAGATTGTGCACTGGTGGGGGAGTGTCCTTTAGCTTGGCCTGTTCCCTCTCACAGTCTGGGACCCCTTGGGAGATGACTGCCTGCCAGCTTAGGCTCACTCCCCCCGGGGATCAGGCCTAACCCAGCAGAAAGACATCCCTCTCACAGACCAGGACTCCTCGCTCCTTATTGCCCTCCTGCAATGGAGACAGGAGAGCCTCCCACCACTGCTGCTGTGCTCATTCGCCATGAGCCTGGCTTCTGGCTGAGCAGTGCTCCTTCTAGAGAACACACTGACCACCAGGGGACAGCTTCTGCGTTGAGTGTCTGCCTTCTGGTGGTCAGTTTATGTTGTCAATTTGCTTATTGGGGTTTTACTATATAGGATTTTCTCCTGATCAAAAATACTGTTTTAGTTATTTACTAGATGCCCAGTGCCCGAAATTCATGCACTTGGTGTGTGTGGGGGCATCCCTCAGCCCAGCCTGTGCCCTCTCACAGTCCAGGAGTCCAACTACAGGAGTTTGGCCCCAGGGCATGTCTGGCCCATCTCGCCTGACCCCACCAGCCACCTTCTAATTAATTTCCTTTCAATGTGCACAAAATCATGCACCATGTCACTAGTATTGGATAAAATGATAAATTATACTTTTAAATTACAAACTTTATATCACTATTATGATATGTGTATGTTTTATGGTTGCATCAAATAAAATATTTGTAGGAAATTGTTTTTGTAAGAAAAGGCTTTTAGTAATTCACAGAATGGGTTGAAATTAATGAAATTCATTTTTCACAGTTAATGTTGGAGAAGATTGTCCAGTGTTTGATGGACTCTTTGAGTTTTGTCAGCTCTCAACTGGAGGCTCAGTTGGTAAGTGTCCTCATTTAGTCAGACTCAAAGTTGATTTAAACATGGTATGTATATACCTTTTAGGTTATTTGTTTAAATCAGAAGCCCTCCATATTTTATGATCATAATGACTCCAGCTTTTTATTTTACTTTTTTTTTCTTACTGCCATTTCATTTTCACTTGCAGACTTCTTTTTCCTTCTTCTCTTCAAGCTACCTTTGTGTTACTCTAACTACCACTGTTACCAGCACTTTCCATATATGCTCTTATTTAATCAGATCAAAGCTGTAAGAACATAATTTATTTACATAAGGAGAAATTGCTAATTTTTAGAGCACTGAAATTCACTCTTGCCTTTTATGATTTTACTAGACACCCGATGCATGAAATTTGTGCACAGGGCAGGGCAGTGTCCCTCAGCTCAGCCTGCACGCTCTCCAATCTGGGATTCCTCTCACAATCCAGGACTGCTGGCTCCCAAACGCTCACCTGCCTGCCAGCCTGATCACCCCCTAACCAATCCCCAGACAGCTTGATAATGCCTAATTGCTCCCTTGCCAGCCTGATTGCCCCTAACTTCCTTCCCCTGCAGGCCTGATTCCCCTCTCCCCAACTGCCTTCCCCTACCCCCAACTGCCTTCCCCTACAGGCCTGGTCCCCCCCTCACCAACTGCCCTCCCCTGCAGGCCTGGGTTCCCCCAATTGCCCTCCCCTGCAGGACTGGTTCCTCCCAACTGCCCTCCCCTGCTGGCCATCTTGTGTGTTGGAGTGACTGTCAATTTGCATATTACTCTTTTATTAGATAGGATACTCTTGGCTTACCCATGGCATACTCTTTCTTATGTCTAGTTTTGCTCATTTTAAATTTTAAACATTTAAAATTTTTATCCTGTCTTGTTTCTTAGCTGGAGCTGTGAAGTTAAACCGACAACAAACTGATATGGCTGTTAATTGGGCTGGAGGATTACATCATGCTAAGAAATCAGAAGCATCAGGGTTCTGTTATGTTAATGATATTGTGCTGGCCATCCTTGAATTACTAAAGTAAGTTCATTTGTGTTGGTGTTTTTCCTATAAATAATATTTAATTAAAATGATAAAAATCTATTGTTTTTTAAAACAACATCAAAAGTAATAATCATGTGAACATGGTTAACGGTGAATTTTCAATGGATTTATTATGGACCATTGTAGAAATAATAGAAATTTGTCCAACCCTTGGATTTTTAAGGAAAAAATGCATCTAAGTATCTTAAACTCTCAATTATTACCTCTTTAAAAAAATATTAGAAGTAGTTTACCAATTTAGATTTGAGTTACATATAGTTTCAACTAATGAAAAATGACATTGTCTCTTTTGTAAGTTTTAACTTTTGATGGCAAATATTTAAAATCTGTGCTAAAGAAAATTTGGTTACCTATTGAATTAAATGTAGATAACTGCATAGCTATTGTAGAACAGGGCTATCCTCTAAAAATGGGTGTTATTATCCTTAAGTTGCTAAAGGCGTTAGTGTTAAAGTTATTCCTGACTACAGCTAGCAGTTCTCAACCTGTGGGTCGTGACCCCTTTCTCAGGGGTCGTCTAAGACCATCGGAAAACACAGATATTTACAGTACAGTTCATAACAGTAGAAAAATTACAGTTATGAAGTAGCAATGAAAATAATTTTATGGCTGGGGTCACCACAACATGAGGAACTGTACTAAAGGGTCGCGGCATGAGAAAGGTTGAGAACCACTGCTCTATGCATACCATTTATAGAGGCTGATTTTTTCAGTCACTTAAAGTTTGGTATTGACTTCCCATAAAAACAACTAGGCAGTGTCAGTTGACTAAGAGCCTAGGAAACCGCTTGAAATCCTTGCCTTGTTTTTTTATTTTTATTTTTTTATTTAATATGTTTTTATTGATTCAGAAAGCAAGGGAGAGAGATAGAAACATCAATGATGAAAGAGAATCATTGATTGGCTGTCTCCTGCATGAGTCCTTCTCTCCTCCCCCTTTTTGGGGATCAAGCCTGAAACTGGGCATGTGCCCTAAGATCAAATCATGACCTCCTGGTTCATAAGTCGATCATGCAGGCCAGACGGAAAAACTATTTTAAAATCTATTTTTATCTCAAAAGTTATACAGAAAGAAAGAGGCCAAATTTGGACTCTGGCCATAGATAGATTTCCAAACTTAAAACACACACACAAACACACACAATTTATCTTGTCCTAGTCAGTTTGGCTCAGTGGATAGAGCGTTGGCCTGTAGACTGAAGGGTCCCACGTTCAATTCTGGCCAAGGGTACATGCCCAGGTTTTGGGCTCGATCCCCAGTAGGGAGCGTGCAGGAGACAGACGATTAGTGATTCTCTCTCATCATTGATGTTTCTATCTCACTCCCTCTCCCTCTCTGAAATCAATAAAAATATATTTTTAAAAATTTATTATTGAAAGTATTATAGATGTCCCCCTCTTTATTCCCTATTGACCTGCTCCTGCCTCTGCCTCTGCTCCAGGCCTTTCCAACCCCTCTTTTATAAGTGAATATTTACGAGAGAGATGCTTTAAAGTAACAATCTTAAATATGGTATATTCTTTGGCTGTTAATAAAAAGAAATGTGTATTTACTATGGTTTTTTAGCTCATAGAATGGGATAGATTCCACAGCAAGTACATTTTTTCACTTACATTGGACCTACAGGGTGGATTTAAAGGTCTGAGGCTCATGTTGTAAGTAGAGGTGGTTGCATGGTCTCTTAGATTAGAAATAAAGAAAGAGGGAATTAAGCATTCTGGCATTTAAGAGCTCAGAAACAGGCTTTCTAACTCCATGGTGATTCTTCCCATCTTAAAACCTTTAAATAACTTAGTCACGGCTTTCTTTGCAGGTATCACCAGAGAGTCTTATATATTGATATTGATATTCATCACGGTGATGGTGTTGAAGAAGCTTTTTATACAACAGATCGTGTAATGACTGTATCATTCCATAAATACGGGGAATACTTTCCTGGAACAGGAGACTTGAGGGTATGACTGAATTCTGTCTGGATAAATATGAGAGGCTAGTAATCCTGTACCTGAACTAATATTTTCCCGAGTCACTAATTTGAAGCTTATATGTAGAGTTGAGTCATTTTATATGCTATAACATCTAGGGTTTTACTTTAGTTTTACTTTCCTTTGCTCAACTATTTTTTGTTGTTGAATAGCTATTTTTGAACATCAAAGCATGAAGCAGTTTTTTGAGGTTCAATTGGAATATTCAAAACCTACTTATTGGTAGTATACTTTGGTATTGATTAGAAAAATTGCTAGAATAAAGTTTTTTAGGTTCTTGTACTGTTCTCTTTCTATGATTGGTCTTGATTTAATAGACCTAATTTTAATCTATTTTTCTTAGGCCTTTGGCATTTGTCAGAAGATACAATTCCATAGATTATCCAGCCTATTACATTAAGTTAATTTATTTCTATTGTGTATCTGTTATCTTCTTTCATTTGGTACTCTCATATTTCATAAAAAAAACCAATGATCAAATCCTGTTTCTACAAACTTCTTGAAATTTTTTGCTTCACTAGAGTTCACACATGCCTATTGAAGTTTAATTTAGAAATGTAAAGAACTTTTTCATTCAGCCTGGATTATACGGGAGAATAATTTTAAACTGTTAGTTATTTTTCAAATCGACATATCATTAGCCAACCAAAGGGTTAATGTGGCCTTAAAGTATTCAGAAATCTGTGGCTTTTCATTATTTGACTACTAGTTGATGCTCTTTCAGTAAGAGTTGTGATGGTGAAACCTTTTTTTTTTTTTTTTTTTTTTTTTTACTTTAGGTAGGAAGTCAGAGTATTTCATTTTAAATAATGTGATTTTTAAAAATTACAAATTTATATTTTCAGTTACATGCCAATTAGCTACTTCTATGCCTTTCCCCACTTGGTGTGATTTTATAGACCCAATGGTTCTCAAAGTATAATCCTTTATACTGGCAAAATTAGCATCCGCTGTGGACTTGTTAGAAGTACATCTTCTCAGATCTCGGGGTTATTCTGCACACTAACATTTGAGAACCACTGCTCTAAACCAATAGAATTCATTTGTCTACAGTCATTGCATCCCAGTAGAAATTAAACAAAGTCTTCTCAGCGTTAAGCTTGAAAAATAGTGGTTTTGTAAAGCAGACGTGCTAACCGCTACACTATGGAACCGCACAGAAAAATAGTGGTTTTGTAATATAATCCTAATTAATATCAGAAATGGCAAATGGAGGTCTCTTTTTGTCATTATTCTTCTGATTAAAGTTGTTGGAAAATGCATGTTTTAAAAATATTTGAGAATGACTTTGAACATCTCTTCCTTACTAAGATTTTATACCCACTCTAAGAAAGGCCTTCATAATATTTTCCTTTTGGATATGAAGAATTTTGTAAGGAAACTAAAATCAATCATTACATTATATGTGTAGTTGTATTTGGATTTTTGTGAAACTTCAATGTATCTTTGGATGTTACTTTAATGAACATTCCCTTCTCTACCTGACAGTTCATTGTAAATCAGGAAAGGCAACTCTGAGCTTAAATCATTGTTAAAACCCTCCTTGCATTTATTAGATAAATAGTGTCTAGGTAAGAGAATAAAACAAAGGTGTGATAAAGGAGCCGTGGTGAAAGAAATGGAAGGGATAAAGCTTAGTCCAACAAAGGCAGCAGCTATGAGTTGCCTGCCTAGAGTATCAAACTACTAATCACCTTGTACTTATTGTCAGAGTATTTTCCAACTGTTTTTAGTGCAGGATCTTTCCATGAGAGATAAGGGAAGAACTTGTACATGTGTTAACCCTAAAGATTCATATTTATTGAGACATAATTTAAAATACTTAAGAATCAGTCATTTCCAATTCTTTGGTGTTGTTAGAGCACTATTTTGTAGAAATGTCCCCTATCCCAATTCTTCTAGGAATATATTCGTGTGTGTGTGTGTGTATAGCTGTGATCTAGACATCAACTTCTCTTCTCTGCTTCCTAAGTGCCTAGAGTAGTACTTACTGAACAAGTAGAAAAAATTTTATTTCAAACCCAATTAGAGATTTTGATGCTTTATTCTGAAGCTATTAAAATATCAATAAAGCCTGCCAGATTGTGAGCCATAAGAAGAATCTGTATTAGAGACAGGGTCCTTTGGCTCAGAATATATCTTCTGTAGTTTTACTCATAAAAATTTCTTACATGAATTTTTTGGATTAATTGTAATATGTAACTTAATATTGCGTTTAACTGTTAAATTCTCCAAAATAATCATTACAGAATTTTTGGAATTGGTTCTTTTCAGCTTTATTAGTAGTCTATTAATGTTAAAACATGCCTTTATTCTATTCTGTATTATTTTCTTTCTCAACCACATGATTCCGAAATATTTTTTGTTACCTGTTCTTTTAATCTCTTAAAATATTTTAATTTTAAAAAATTTGTCAAACTTTTTATTATGAAGAATTTTCTAACATCTGTTTAACTCTTTATTTTAGGATATTGGTGCAGGAAAAGGCAAATATTATGCTGTCAATTTTCCAATGAGAGATGGTATAGATGATGAATCTTATGGGCAAATATTTAAGCCTGTAAGTATTACTATTTTCAAACTCAAAATGAATTTGAAAATCTTTTTAGAAATAATAACATTTGTTATTTTTTACATAGATCATCTCAAAAGTGATGGAGATGTATCAACCTAGTGCTGTGGTGTTACAGTGTGGTGCAGACTCGCTATCTGGTGATAGACTTGGTTGCTTCAATCTGACAGTCAAAGGTAAGCAATTTAAAGGGTGATAGTTCCAGAAAATTGTATATGTGTTTGTTGAAATTGGTTTTTCTGACTACAATTACTCTTATTTCAGTAAGGTCTTGTTTAGGTCTTTTTCATTTTGTCAAGTTTATGTATACAGTCATTCATGAATAGTTTTATCAAGCTTGTTGCAATCTCAACAAGGACAGCTATTTCATTGTTTTTGGTTGATTCTTTTGGTGTGTGTGTCTTTCTCTAAAAAACATGCAAACTTTGCTACTTTCGATTTTTTATTTTAGCCTTGTGTATTAATTTTTTTATGTTGAAAGGAGAGATTCAGTTCCTTTTCACACTTTATCCCTAATATGCACACACCTTTCTAATAGCTTCATATAACTCTTGTATTTATAACAGAACTTTGGTGTGGTAGTCACTGTTTACAGCAGCATCGGTACCATTAAAGTCATTTCAGCTTATCAATTTTTCTTTATTGCATAACTTGTTTTTTCCAGTTTTTCATTTCCTTAATTTTCTCTTTACATACCGTGTTTCCCCAAAAATAAGACATCTTCCGAAAATAAGACCTAGCACATGGAAAGATAAGACATCCCCTGAAAATAAGACCTAGCGCAACTTTGGGAGAAAAAATTAAGACACTATCTTATTTTTGGGGAAACAGGATATTACTAAATGACCAGTGTCTAAGTAGCTTCATATGTTCAGATGCATTAAGTATCCTATCATTTCCTATCAGTTTAACCTTCTTGAAGAAAAGCCTCCTCATTTGTTCCTATTTGGATGAGTCTCCTCTCTAGACTTGGTAAAAAGTAAGCTGTTCTTTGCTTCTCTGTTGAATTGGCTCCCCTGATTGCTGTTTCCTCTTAATTGTATCTCTCATTTTGGTGGAGCACATTTTCAAGTGGCTATCTGAGCAAAGTCATGTGTGAGATAAGGAAATTATGTTGATTTGATCAAGTGTTGATACCAACATATGATAGAAGTCTAGACCAAAGTAAAGAAAAATGACCATTACGGAATGGACTTCTAAGGAATAAAAATAAATCTGAAATTTTATTTAATGTATTATGTGTGGATCAGTAGTAATTCATCATGGATATTGTACATAATTTTGGAGTTATTTTCCTTGTGAATTTTAAGGTAACAAGTTGATGTTTTTCTTTGAATTCTCTCATAGATGTGAAGAATTCTCATATAAACTTTCCAGAATGCTATTGGCCTAATTGGAATTAAATAAGTGCAGACATTAAAGGCTTTTTTATTTAATGTCATGCTTGTTACTGTACCTGGCAACATTAGAATTATAATATAATCTATTCTACTTTTCTAGGTTGAACTATGAAATTAATTGCCGCTTTAGGTTAACAGTGGCCAAATAGCAAGTTTCATATTGTAACTTCATATGTGTTGATAATGATCTTTTGCTTCAAAATGCATATGATTTCCCAAAAATAACCTACCTAATGCACTTTTAAGATATATATTAAACATCGTTTTAACTCTTTGAAAGTTCTTGAAGCTTTCGTTCTTAAAAGCAGTAGCTTTCGTATTTATAAACTGTGTTTTACTCTTACAATAATAAATCTATATATTTTAACTGATAGCATTTTAGTTGTATAAAGCATATAAGAAGATTTATCATCCCAAAACTTAAACTTGATTGTAATCTTCTCTGCTGCCATCCTCTATTCAGATTTCTCAAGTCTGCTAAAGTAGTTACCTCTTGTTCATTTCCTTCCTACCTTTACAGTGTTAATGTCTATTTTGTCTCAGTCTTCCTTTTTGTGGAATTTAGCCGTTTTAGAAAATCCCTTTATAGTCCTTTATATTAGGTTTTAATATATAAGTAAAGTAAATTTCTTTGTCTAGCCAGCTATCTTTACTAGGAAGTCTGTAAATTAACATTCTGTTTTATTATAAAACACCCAGTTCTCCATATATATATATATATATATATATATATATATATATATATATATATATATATATATAAAGCCAATCTTTCATGGCCCTCCCCTCTGCCAGCCAACCTCCTACAGCCCTGATTTGGGACTGGGCGAGTGCCCTAATTGGCCCCAATCACTGGCCAGGCCAAGGGACCCCACCCATGCACAAATTTGTCCACTGGGCCTCTAGTCTAATATAAGAAAGCTATGTTTTTCTAGTAGCAATAATAAAAAATGAGTTGTGAACCATATAATACAACTATAAAAATACTTAATGAGAATACTCACAATATACAGTTATAAGATCACTGAACTTTAAAAAATTGATTGAAAGGGAATATAATTTTTTAAATACCTTTGGATGATGCAGTTTTATGTAGTTTTTTCTTTGTAGTCCCCCCCCCCCCCCCCAATTCTTTAACAGGCATGGCTTTCTTCTATAAATAAAAGATTTTTTTCTGTTTTAAAATATTAACTTAAGTGTCTGAGTGTTGCTATTCTAAGAAGTTACTGGTAACTTGTAATTGATTATTAAATTATAACATTTATTCAAAGGAAATATTTTGGTTTTATATTAGGTTTACTTTGTATTTGAGATTCTACACATAAAAATTAAACTTGTTTTTAATAGTAATAAGTATTAATTTTATAATCTTCAATAAGTTAAGAAAAATTATAATACTGCTACCTAAAGATATCCTACAGTTAAACTTTTTTGGATAGCCTTTCATTGTGCGTAATGTTTCATTGTTACTTGATTTCTTTTCCCTTGTGTAACTGCACATGTACAAAACATCTTCATATCACATAATATCTTCCTATTAATAAAAATGTGTTTATATTTTGATCTTAATATAGTTATATATTTGATTTTTCTATCAGGCACACTTGCTAATAAACTAGCCACTTGTGTCTTAACTGTGTTTTGTATATTATTATGAAAGGTGTTTTGATTAAAAAAAAAAAAGTTTTGTATTGTTATCTTTATATTTTTTATTAAATTTTTACATATTATTTGTTTTTAAAATATTTAGAAATGCCATTTTGGTTTTTTAAAATTTTTGCTATCTTTTTGAGAGAGAGATAAAAATTTTGCTATCTTTTTAAATTTTATTTTTCAAACTGTAACGATGCAGACTTATTGTTGCCCAAATCTCTTTGTCTTAGGTCATGCTAAATGTGTAGAAGTTGTAAAAACTTTCAATTTACCATTGCTGATGCTTGGGGGAGGTGGATACACAATTCGTAACGTTGCTCGCTGTTGGACATATGAGACTGCAGTTGCCCTTGATTGTGAGATTCCTAATGGTAAGTATTTTTATTATATTTTTATTGGATGACCTGTCAATATATAGAAATAGATGGGTGGATGATTAAATTCCAAAACCATGTAAATAAAAGAGCAATTAATAAATTTACTTTGCATTCATGTTTAAACATTTTCTTTGGAAATATTTCTCAAGTTGAATCTGGAATTTTGTGTATGGATATGTGTGAAAATTAAGCTTTTAATGTTAATTTTATTTCATTGTTTTTAATAGAATTGCCATATAATGATTACTTTGAGTATTTTGGACCAGACTTCAAACTGCATATTAGTCCTTCAAATATGACAAACCAGAACACTCCAGAATACATGGAAAAGATAAAGTAAGACATCATTGAATTGTTTTTGTAAATGTTTGATATAACTTCAGGAACCTTTAGAAGGCCAAGTACATTAGGTCATTTTAGCTTTAGACACAAGATATTTCCTTTGTCTTTTTCAAAAGCATTTAAAATCCTAAGATTATTGATTTCTTTAATTTTTAAACATAACGGCAAGTATGTGGGCTTCATAGCTCAAAAATATTTTAATTTTCTATTAGTTTTTAGTTTACAAAGCTGTAAAGTTTATACTCTTGGCTTTACATGAAAGTGAAGTAAAATGTATTTTCATAGACATTTTAGTACATAGGCCTGGGTTTGTGTTCTCTAGATCTGTGACATTTGTCAACTTAATTTGCCTTTGTGCTTATATTTTCTTAACCAATGAAATAGTACTTGTAAATTTTGAAGATTAAATGGGTTCGTAATATGTAAAGTATTGGTGCTCAGTTAATTTATTATTTTAATTCAGAGGTTTAAATTAAATTAAAGATGAAGTTTTTTGCTTAATGTGTTTCATCAGCATTTAAAAGCAACTTGAAAGAGAATGAATTGTGTCTAATAGCTTTGCATGTATAATTTAGACAGCGTTTATTTGAAAATTTACGCATGTTGCCTCATGCACCTGGCGTCCAAATGCAAGCTATTCCAGAAGATGCTGTTCATGAAGACAGTGGAGATGAAGATGGAGAAGACCCAGACAAGAGAATTTCTAGTAAGATAATGCTTTGATGTGTATTCTGTTACAAGAGAATTTCTAGTAAGATAATGCTTTGATGTGTATTCTGTTACATTTACCTGATTTTTTAAAATAACACTACAAACTGAAGGTTTTAGTAGCCTAAGAACACAATGGGTCATGTTTTATTAGCACAGTATTATTTTTAATCTTCCAATTTTTAATCTTAAATAGTTTAACTTCCATATGTCTCAAAGTCTGATTTGATGTCAGTGATTGCAATTTATGGCTACTAGAGACTTAGTGCACGAAATTTGTGAATGGGTGGAGTCTCTAGGCCTGGCCAGCATTCAGGGCCATCTTGCACAGTCTAGTTGGGGCTGGCCAGGGACTGGGGTCTGCCGGCTTCCAGACAGGGGAGGGGAAGGACTGCGGGAGTGCACTGACCACCAGGGGGCAGCTCCTGCATTGAGCGTCTGCCTCCTGTTGGTCAGTGTACGTCATAGCAACTGGCTGACCTGGTTGTTCGGTCATAGCAGTTGCTTAGGCTTTTATATATATATATATAGAAGATATGCAAGGGTGGGCAAAAAGTAGGTTTACTATTTAATATGTAAGGGTATTCTTATTTTGTTAAACAATATATATTGTTTCAGGTGTGTTTTAATATATATATATATATTATTGATTTTCCACAGAGAGGAAGGGAGAGGGATAGAAAGCTAGAAACATCGATGAGAGAGATACATCAACCAGCTGCCTCCTGCACACCCCTTATTGGGGATGTACCCACAACCAATGTACATGCCCTTGACTGGAATCGAACCTGGGTCCTTTCAGTCCGCAAACTGACGCTCTATTCACTGAACCAAACCGGTTTTGGCGTGTTTCTTTTTCTTTTTTCTTTTCTTTCTTTTTTCTTTTTTTTTTTTTTTTTACCCCCATGACCTCCTGGCCTCCACTCCCCCCACCACACTTGCCTCTTCCCTTTCCCCAGTCAGTGTCGTGTTTCTATTGGTTATGCTTATATGCATGCATACAAGATCTCTTACCTCCCCGAACTCTTCCTGCCTTCCCACTATAGTTTGATATCTATTCAAAGCTTCTTTGCTTCTATCTATTTTTCGTTCAACAGTTTATAATGTTCTTTATATTCCACAAATCAGTGAGATCATGTGGTATTTATCTTTCACTGACTGGCTTATTTCACTTAGCACAATGCTCTCCAGTTCCATCCATGTTAATTGTGTTATTTTCCACATGAACAACTGTAAACCTATTTTGCCCACCCCTGTATATGACCAAAAGTTTCTACAAACTATCTGCTTATGTATACTTAGGAATAAATTGGAAAATAAATTATTTAAAGTAGAGTGAGTTGAATGATCTGAAGCACTTCTGTTTGATTCTACAATCTCATCCACTTAATATGATTTTCAGTTATATAGCCTAATGATTTGCTGTTGGTATAGACATTGATGTATTTGGTAATGATTGCATTTTTATTTTATTTGTTTTCCCTCTCAGCTCTAAATAAAAGGTTACTTTTTAAATAATGACATTATCCTTACCTCCTATCAGAACATAATGTTTTCTTCCAAATTTTTTTTTTTTTTAGATTTCCCAAATGTTTTTCATATTTCTTCCAAGAACAAAGCTAAATATTTAGTATTTAGCAAACCATGCATTAAGTTCTAACCTTAAAATTATTATTTCTTATCCTATATTTTTAAATGTAGTTACTAGTTAATACATTTGTACAAAGTATGCTGAAAAAAACTTATGACTACTTTTATCAACTTTGTTTTTAATTTTTATATTTCAGTTCGCGCATCAGACAAACGGATAGCTTGTGATGAAGAATTCTCAGATTCAGAGGATGAAGGAGAAGGAGGTCGTAGAAATGTGGCTGATCATAAGAAAGGTGCAAAGAAAGCTAGAATTGAGGAAGACAAGAAGGAAACAGAAGACAAAAAAGCTGGTGAGATTTATTGTTTTGGTAAATGTGTTTTAAAATTATAACTTTTTAGTCCAGCTGCACAACTCAGTGGTTGAGTGTAGACCTGCGATCCAGGAGGTCATAGTTCGATTCCCGGTCAGGCACATGCCTGGGTTGTGGGCTCGATCCCCAGTGTGGGGCATGCAGGAGGCAGCCAATCAGTGATTCTCAATATTGATCTATCACTTTCTCCCTCTTTCTTCCTCTCTGAAATCAATAAAAATATATTTTAAAAAACAGCGATAAAATTGTAACTTTTTAAAAGTAAGTGGCAGTGCAGTTTTTATGAGATCCTGGAGTCATTTACACAAATAATGGAGGTAGAGGGTGCTGGGTAGGTGACCTTTTTACCCATGTAAGTGGTGCTTAGCTCTCTAAATGTTATTAGTCACATTTGCTTTTATAATATAGGAAACTTTATTACCTTCTCTTAGTTGATATGGGCTTAACATAGGGAACATTGTTGGGTAAGTTGGGTAAGAGGAAAGACAAAGTGATTATAGTTCCTTTACAGGCTGTTAGCAAAGATGAAATTTAAAATAATTTTTAACTCCCTAAAGTTCATTTCCTGGGGATGAAACACAAGAAGTTACATTATCCTTAGACCAGTTGGATCATTTTGGAAAAGCTTAGAGAATAGACTTTTTCAGAAAATGTTTAAAGAAAACAAAAACTGGGGAAAGATGGGACGGAATCGAGGAGCTGGCTTGGGGAGGAGATACTGCGTTGAGCTTCTCGATTGAGAAAATAGATGGTTTGGGGCATTGAATTTGCTACGAGGATCTGTTATCTTTTATCAGAGTTCCTAGAGCACTTGCACATACCTCAGTCATTTTATTTAACATGTGATAATTTAGTGCCTTATTGCAGGATTTTACATAAGTGATTCCCCTGCTAGACTGAGCCGCTCATGACCAGGGGAACACATTGTCTTAAACATCTGTGTTTTTCAGCACTTGGTGCATTTCCTGAATGGATACCTGATACCCCTATACAAGTAATGGTGATGGGCATCATTTTAGCCAGCCTGTTAATTTTGACATGTAGAAAACTGACTCAGATACTGGTCCAGCATCCTTATCTCATATCTATCACATTGAAGTTTTGCTAGCAAGCTGGCTCTTGGATTTTTTGTTGTTGTTCTTTTTCAGTAGAGTTAGGAATCAAAGCACATCTTGGCACATCTAGTTCTGTTCTTTTATGGATTTACTCCTCTAGGCTACTGTTATCTACCATTGTATAATTTTAACTTTCCAGTGTATTGCAGTGGTATAGTGATGGTTCTTCTGTACTGATTGACATCCAGAAATTAAAGTTATTGAAGTAAGAAGGATTTAGATTTTAGCTGTAGGATTTTTCTGTTTTGGGTTTTGTTTTGTTTTGTTTTGTTTTCCTCAGTTAGTATGTCATCTTGTCTGTCCTGTTTTTGGTGTTTATTCTCATTTTCAAACCTTTTTTTCTTCAATTTTTTCTTCTAAATGGGAGAGTGGATACACTAAGGGGTTTGTCTTTCATTGCTGTTAGCTAAAAATGAGAGTACTTTTTGATTTGGCTTAATGGCCTGCTAGTAGATTAATCTCATAGTTTTTACCTCTGTACTTAGTTGCTGATATTAATTGAAAAAAAATTTGAAACTTTTAAAAAGATTTTTAAAGGGCCTTGCAATTGTTAAAATTCCTCGCCCTACAGCCCTAACCGTTTTTGCTCAGTGGATAGAGCTTCGGGTTTCACACTGATAAGGTCCAGGTTTGTTTCCAATCAAGGGCATGTACCTTGATTGAAGGCTTGATCTCCAGTATTGAGAGGCACATAATGTTTCTAATTATCCCTCTCCCTTTCTCTCTGTAAAAAATGAATAAAAATGTGTTGTTGTTTTTTAAATCCCTCACCCTGCAGATGAAATATTACCATAGAAAACTGAGGACTAAAAACTAACGGTATAAACAATAGGATTTAGCCTCTGCTTTGTCTTTGGGCTCCTCTTCTCTAATTCTCGCCCCTTTTGACAATATTCCAGTTATACTGGTCTTTCATTTTTTTCTCACCAACCTGCTATTTTCTTAAGTTTTCCCTCTGTTCAAAATACTTCCTTCTTTTCACCCAAAGCTATTCTTACGGAAACTTTCCAATGGCACTTCTTCCTGTTACCTTTTCTGATCTTCCAGTGCTGTGCTCATGTCTCTTGGCTTATAATTTTTTCTTCACAGCACATATTCCAGCTGTAATACTGTGATCCCACAGAAACAAAACTTCCAGAAGGACAAGGACTGTGCTGTTACATGGATACTGTGAATCTCTATGTCATTTAGCATAGAACCTAACACAAAGCCCATTCAGTTACTGAATTAATAAGTAGTAATATACAAGGTGTCCCCAAAAAATGTATACACACTTTGGAAATTTATTCATTCCAATGGATTAAATCTGAAAAGAAAGAAACATCAATTGAGCTATCAACTGTAAGTCTATACATTTTTGGGGGGACATCGTGTGTGTGTGTGTGTGTGTGTGTGTGTGTGTGTGTGTGTGAGACAGCTTTCTATATTTTAAGTAAGATATACTTTTAAGTGTTTTATATTTCAAAATAAGTTTTAATCTCTTCTAATTTTTGTTTATAGATGTTAAGGAAGAAGATAAATCCAAGGATAATAGTGGTGAAAAAACAGATACCAAAGGGTAAATTATATTTATTAACTAGTAATTTTTATATGCTATATAAACAATAAACACATTTACTTGGGTATGTATTCTTTTGAGAAGTACTGAACTGAGCCTGAGAACATCAATAAGTTATGTGAGATGCTCTGAATTTTATCTGTGTTGGCTCATAAGACAACATATGCCATCTTAATTATCATTTATGTCATCTGCTTAGCTGCTCATCTGTCATTGATGTAGTTTGCCCTAAAAAGATCACAAAGACCAGTACTAATTAATATTGTAACTGAATTAATTTGTATTCTTTTATGTAATTTACTAGAAGTCCAATGCACAAAACTCATGCAAGAGAATGTCTACCTTCCCTGGTGCCGTCACTAGCTTCCCTCTGGCACCCAGGACCTGGGCTTCCCTCGAAGCTCTGGCTTTCGGTCTAATTATCATATTATGCTTTTATTATTGTAGATTATTATAGATGATACCTTTTTTGCTATTAATTTTTATATGGGCACTAATCATCTTTCGTGGTGCTTGTTTCTATATATGTGATCTTTTTACTATTGTGAGTTGGGTAAGTTTAAGAAACAATCGGTTTTTTTTTTTTTTTAAAAAAACATAATTGAGATTTTTATTATCGGAAAGCTTATTTAAATGCTTGGCCACATGTAATTTTGTGCTAGTCTTTACAGGATAACTTGGAAAAGCTTATAAGATCACTAGAAAGATTAAGGCAGTCAGTACTCCAAAAACACGGAGGGCATTATCATCAGCTTACATGGTACTTGGCATGAGCAAACAGGACCTGATCAATAGATAGGTCAGTGTATTTAAACTGAGACTGTGCCATTTTTAATCTTTCATGTTGCCTCTTTTAACAGAGCCAAATCAGAACAGCTCAGCAACCCTTGAATTTGAAAGTCTCCAATTTCAGAAAACATTAAAAAATAAGAAAATATTGGCAAGAAAAGTGTTTTCTTTTTGAAGACTTCTGGCTTCATTTTATACTACTTCGGCATGGACTGTATTTATTTTCAAAATGGCTTTTCCTTTGGTTTGTTTTTGTTATTGGCAAGTTTTAGTGTGAGTTTCTAATTATGAAGCAAAATTTCTTTTCTCCACCATGCTTTATGTGATAGTATTTAAAAATTGATGTGAGTTATTATGTCAAAAACTGATCTATTAAAGAAGTAATTGGCCTTTCTGAGCTGATTTTTCCATCTTTTGTAATTATCTTTATTAAAAAATTTTACTTGGATTGTCTTTTGTCTATTTATTATAACATGAAATTCTTTTTCATAGGAGAATGATATAACTATTTTTTTAGAATTAGAACACATCAGCCCAAGCCAGTTTGACTCAGTAGATAGAGCATTGGCTTATGGACTGAAGGGTCAAGGTTTGGTTCTGGTCAAGGGCATGTACCTCAGTTGCAGATCCCCCCCAGGAGGCAGACAATCAATGTGTTTCTCTCACATGGATGTTTTGTTTTTCCCTCTCTTGTGCTCTAAAAATCAATGGGAAAAATATCTTTGGGTGAGTATTAAAAAAAAAAGATTCATCAGAGGTGAAAGATAGTGATTATAATTTCAAAGACATCCACTGACTATTTCTAGGAAAGATATTTACAGTAGTGATTATTTTAATGCAATGGGAGTTCTACCATCTTGTCTTATATAGGTTGGCCAGTCAATATTAGTGAAGACTGACATCTCATTATAGTCATTAATCTCAAATTAATAGTACAAGCTATACTATACAATTGAGATTATAGGCATTATCTTTGAGCTGAATCAAAGATTCTCCAAAATTGGAAATTCTGAATTGAAACAAATCCATAAACAGGAGGAACCTGTAACTGTTATGTGGTTGTGTTTAATCAATCAGGACCTTCCTATATTTACATTAAGTTCATCTAAAACCTATTTTGACAAATCTGGTGTGTGTACTGAATCTACATGGCATTTAGGTTCCACTGTTACACCCAGGTTTCCAAACGAAGGAAATACTTTAAAAAGTAAATTATCTTTTAACTTGTTAACTGTGTACCAATTTTAAGGTTTTGGGTATGCAACTGAACATATGGGAAAATGCCTGCACTCAGTTTATTTTTAGTAGTAGAAAACAGACGAATGAGGTAATTTCTTTGTAAGGTGTAAAAAGGAGAAAACATTTTGGGAACTTGCCAAAATTTGTGAAATCTCTTTGGCCATGTCCAAATTGATTCTTTTGAGAGAAAAATTACAGAATGCCACGAGACAGATCATTCAAATGTTTCTCTTAATAGCCACGTGTTTGCAGATATTTTAGGCATTCACAAAAGCCTCTGGAGTTTTGTAATGAACAACCATTACACACCTGGATTTAACATGGTACACTTTTGCCATGTTTGCTTTAGATAAATTATTCAAAAGGAGTTCTTTATGCACTTTGCTATTTAATACTTCTCCCACTCTTGAAGTAACCAGTACTCTGAACCTTATGCATATCTTACCATGTTTTTCCTCATATCTGTCACCGTACTAACCTTTATAGCATTAGAATTATGGGACACAGTCTTTCCTTAAAGGACATAGTGAACTGATGTGTATGTGAAACATGGTGTCATATGTGCACATCTGTAACTTGCTCTACATTTTATATTGTGATCTCCCCTGTGATGAGCAAGTATTGATTAGTGTTCCATTATAAGGAACCTCCTTGGGTACATCAAGTTCTGTTCTATTTACAAATAGCATTTATATAAAACTAAAGCCTCAAGAGCCTGAAATGAGAAACTCAGCCAGGTGAGTTGTTAACATGGATAATACACAGAAGCCAACAACATAACCAGAAGATACCTTGGAAGAACAAAGACACCCTTTACAATAGCAATAATTTCCAGAAGTAAAATGGTGCTGGTATATAATGATCAATGTAGCAGTGGTTGTAATACCCTACCTAGCACACTTGGAAATTAACACTGGATAAAAGTATTTCCTATTGGCGAGGGGGAAAAGATTATTCCCTAAGTGATGGGATAATGGGTAGCTAAGTTTCAGGGTGGGGTAACTTAACACCAGAAATACCAGATTAGTTGGAAAGAGAAAATAAAACCTTAAATACTAGGAACTGAGGCCTTCCTAGATAAGATGGCAAACCCAAACTAAAATAGATTTGATTAAAATTCAGTAGGCAAACTTTGTTTAAAAAAAAAAAAAAAATCAAATGGTGGGCTGGTGAGTATATAGGACTGCAACTCCTCACAATTCAAACGTTCAGTAAAGATTGTAGAGGTGAGTTGTTTTTTTTTTTAATTTAGCATAAAGGATGTGAACAGTTAATATGAAAAGTTCTTAAATATGAAAAGAACTTTAACCTTAGCAAATTAAGAGCCGTGAAAATACTTTTAATTTTTTAACCTTTTTAAAACCTATGCTATAAATGTTAAGAGTTTCAAGAAATTGTCATTTTAGTAGGGTACGTAAGTCAGTATAATCCCTTGGGCTTAATTTGACATTCTATATCAAAGTTATAAATAATTCAGAATTTCATTTTGGAAAATTTAACATACTTCACTTGCAAAATGAGTTTCAGAATTAACGCAACATGATTGAAAATAAAACAACTTAATATTCAACAAAGGATAGGTGAATATTCATAAGAGATTACAGGCATAAGTATGAGGATTACATACTATAATATATGGATATATCTTCACTATATATCAAGTGGGAAAAAAAGCAAAGATGTGGGACATGACACTACCTTTTGTAAAGAAACACAAAATCAGTTCTATAATATCTAGGAAAGATAATCATGAATCTGGTACCATCAGAGCATTGGTTACTTTCATGAGGATTTGCATGCTGGACCATGTGAATATACAAAAGTTTTTTTAAAAAGTGGAAGCACACAATTTCTGTTCAAAAGGATAGGAATTTCACACAACCTTACAGCTTGCTTGTCTCAAATTATGTCTTGAGATGACTTGCAGATACATATTCAGGTCAGTGTTACTGGTACAGCAGTGAGTATAATTTCTTACAAGAAGGAAGACTTGCCATGTGGCAAGTCCCAATACCAAAGATAAGATTGTATAAATCACCTGAAAGAATTGTGCTCCAGTCGGGGTAGAGTAGCTATCAACTGTGAGGCTGATCTGTGCCACCACCACACACACACACACACACACACACCTTGGAGGCCTGGTGCAGCCAGCTCACCGGCCTCGCCCCCCACTGCTGCAGCCAGTTGCTCCTGCCTGGCCACTGGTAGATTGAGTGGGGGAGGAGCCCGCTGGCACCTGCCATGGCTTGTCTGGGGCCTGTGGGTTGGGAGCAGTGTTTGCTTTGAGCATCTGCCCCCTGGTGGTCAGTGCGCATCATAGCCACCATCTTCTGCTGGTCATTCCGCTGTTCTGTTGATTTGCATATTAGGCTTTTATTATATAGAATGAGGAAAAGGATAATAGTCCTTATCTTAAAGGATTGTTGTGAGGATTGAGTTAGTTAATGCTCCGTAAATGTTAGCAGCTGTTGTGGGGGTGGGGTAATGATTCTAATATTAGGTAACAGGGCCGAAATGGTACAGGGAGGAATTAAACCTTCAGGTGTTCTTTAGACATCAAATGGATTGCATTTGAGCCTTTTGTTGCCTACTAATAACAAAGTACTAGGTCGTGGTGGAGAGAGAAGCAATCATTTGAAAACTAATTTGGCAAGGACACTAATAAGATTTGGCAAATTTAGGGGGATCTTGATGCCATTGCAACTTATTTGAAGATAATCTGTCAAGCAAAATGCTAGTGAATGGATTGTAGAGAAAACACAAGACTATTATAGGCTATTGGCTATTTACATGAGTAGCAATGTTAATGTGAAGATCTAATGTTTAGAAGAGCAATATAGTATTTAGAAGCTGCTCAATAATTGCTGCATTTCTCCGCTCCACCACAAGATGGCAGATATTCCATTGTTTAAATCTTTTTCTATTATTTGTTCTTGTTTTCCCCCTCAATTTACTTGGTGACTTCATGAGTTGAGTAACACATATAACAAGTGTTTTTGATTGCAATATTGGATTTAATACTATTTGAATTAAACTACAACTTAGGTTTTTCTTTTTTATTGATTTCAGATAGAGGATGGGAGAGGGAGAGATAGAAACATCAATGCTAATGATCAATTGGCTGCTTCCTGCACCTCCCCTACTGTGGATCAGGGCTGACTGGAATTGAACCGTGACCACCTGGTTCAGAGCTTAATGCTGAACCCCAGAGCCACACTGGCAGGGCTTGGGCTTTTCTTTAAGAAGAACAATTATAATACTAATTTATGAACTTTACATGCATAAAACTCAGTAGTGTACCTGGGAGTAAATAGTTCTTGTGACTTTATAGTCAAAAGTGGAATGGAAATGAATATTAAAACCAGAATAATTTTCTACTTTGGGTGGGGGTAGAATAATGTAATATATACATAATAGAAAAGGAGAATTGAAACTTATTTCTAGGAAAATAGTGTAGAGATGTTATATTCAGGGGTGTTGGATTCTTGTTTCACAACTTCTGTTACTAAACTAAGTACCTAACCTCTTTGAACTTTTAAATTATGACACTACAGCATTGTAATAAATAGTATTAATAAATTATATTCTGGTGGAATAAATTATGAGGGAGAATAGATTACTTGATTAGATTCTGTCATTTTTCTCTTTTGCTTAATAATTTAAGGTTGTTTAAAAGTTGAGCAGATATGTATAAATTAATTATTTCTAAAATAAAATTGATAGAATTCTGAATAGGCACATTTTTTTTTTTTTTTGCCCGGCCCACCCATCTTGTGCCCAGTAGTATGTGTGTTTAGGGATGAGTTGAATGAAGTTATGAATTGAAATCTAAGACTCTAATCACTTTTGAGTTGTAAATTTTT